TTTGAAAATACCTAGCTCTGTGTAGGCAACTGTTATAGTGCTATAATAGATTAGGAAAAATAGTACCTACCTGCAATTGATCTTGGAAGATTTTTAATACATGAATGTCTTTTTTTCTTTATTAATAAATCATGCAGGTACATGTACACCTGCTATTCCTCCCTTATTTGTAAATTTATTGTTAAAACACTAGCTAAATGGCGTAGGCCTATATTAAGATCTAATACTGCTGTTTACTTTACCTAGGTTATTCCAATAACTCTATATGTTTGAACGTTGTGTATCATGTGCATTTTTATATGAAAGCTGTATCCAAAAGATGTAACCAGATCGAGTTTGCAAATCCTAGCTCATACCTTTTCCTTTTTAAAATTGTAGTATAGTGTAATATTGTAAAATGTATTAATGAATTGCAATTTTGTAATTAGCTAACAAAAGTAAAATAATTATATTATATTACATGCAACAAGCCAAACTCTGTATTTCTTTATGATTAATTATCCAGCTATAAGAAGTGTTACGGTATTTTATGTCTGTTTAGTTGGATATAGGTCCTTCGGAAAAGGATTTCTCTGATTCTAAATTTCTCTTCTTTGTTTGTTCAGGCAAGGCTGACAAATAGTATTGTAAAATATTGGCTGGTACACAGTATTAATACAAGTTTTTACATGTTTTTTTTTAAATAATTTATAGCATTTAGGCTGATGATTAAAAAATAAATACTTAAGTAATCATTAAAAATTATATTGTTTTTTAATTATGTACCTTGTGTTATCCCTTTTTAGTGGAAAAACACTACTTTTTACTTTCTCCCCCTATACCATAGTATATGGAGAAAGTATTGTTTTGTCCAATTTTTTCGAGTTTGAGTTTTGAGTAGATGGTATATCCGTTTTGGGTCATGAACCCTTCCCATTAAAAATCCCCATAAAATAAGAGAAAATCATATTTAAAAAAAAAACCTGGTTTAGATTGAAATTTGTATGTGATAATCCTTATAATTCCAAACAACATAGTGCAACCCCTCATTGCTGTAAAAATTATGGTTTAAAAGTTGTTGTAACTTATGTTATTTCCCCATAAAACATTGTTGTTGCTTCATAATATTGCCAAACGGCTAGGTCATTTTCCAAAATAAACTTATAACACACTTTTTAAATAAGTTCCCATAATATTACCCATAAAACACTAATTTAATAAACGGAAAAATGGATTGATAAAGGTTGTTGACAAGCTAATGGGAGAAAGTATGTGTCAGATTGCTGATACCGTTTATTATTAATTATTTGGCACAAAACAATGTTCTTTATTATAGGCACATAATACTTGTACACTTGAAAGTTGGCAACATCCATTTTAAGATAAAAGCCAGTGTAGGAATTTTTTTATAAACTCAGTTCGGAGTTTTTATTTAAAAACAATAAAGTTTCAATAATTTCCAAAATCTCTTGTTCCGAAGCGGTAGTGTGATCTACAATATGTTATGGAACACAGATTTGCAGATTAATAGAAAGTGAAAATAATAAAATCAGTGCAAACCTTTTTAAAAACAAAATCATTCTGAATTCTTTGTAACCAACCAAAATATATGTATTATATCGGGCAGAGGTGCCTAGAGATGGGGGGGGGGGGGGCAGTGGCGCACAAACTTGTGCCATTATTCTTGATATTTACTTCCTTATAAGGAAATTCGCTAAAATTCAAGTAAATTAAAATGCATTATTTTGAAGAAATAAAACTACCAAAGCATATCTTAACAATCTTCTTGAATGCATGTAATTCTTTTTGTTTTACCCCTGACGGTAAATTATTGTAAACCAGGGGTCCAAAGTATGAGATAGCATTTTCCCCCATCTCAGTTCTGTCCCAGCCCAACAAACCTCACATAAACCTCAGTTCTTCGTACCAAACTTGGTATTCAGAAACTGAAGCTGGTTTGTCAGCAGCGTCTTGTGAACCAAAATTGATGTTTGGAGATCAGAGATTTGCTGTATGGATAGTGTACGCACTTTCAATCTGAATTCACTAATATATGGTCAAATTTCTTCAAATTGTAAACAAACCTTAGTGCATTATTCTGGAGTCATGTCAGTATTTTGATTTTTTCTTTTGTTAAACAACCAGAAAAAGTAAGTAGGCAGTAATTAATAGATTTATTACACTGCTAGCACTATTTGAAGTTTTTCTGAGGTCGGCAGTACCTCATAGGCATACCCAGAGGGGGCAGCTGCCCCCCCCCCCCCTAGAAGCCAGGATAAGGTATAAAAAATTGAGATCCAAGAAAATTTTTATTAGTAAGAGAAAAGATAAGTAAGCTAGTTAACATATTTCTTATGTCATTTTTTGACAGATGTTATCAATTTTTCATTAGTTTCTGAGTTATTTCTTCAGTAAAATAAAAATTCCAACAGTAGTAATAAACAGAACAATTTCTTGCAATATGTATAAAGTATAAACTAACAACATTGTGTAGTATAATGAATTAATATAAACCTATTTTTTGTATATAATTTTGTTTTCATTTGCCTTCAACAATAATGTAACAAACAAAATTGCTCTACGGCATAAGTTATCAGGCATTCTTCAAAATGGTTTACCATACATTTCGGGTGTTATAAATGGATGTGAAGAGTTGGTATGGACACAAAAAATTCAGTTAAATGTGTATTGTAAAGAAAGCTAAGCAACCTGACCCATTGACTGACAAACACTGAATTATCGAGCTACTTTTGTTATATTAATCCTATCCTATACCATAATATGAGCAATGTTTGCTTGTATGTATGTATGCTTGCTTGCAGAAAAATCTCGAAAACGGCTCCGACGATTTTCTTCAAATCTTGTAAATAGTGTGTTTATTTTTGGCCTAAAAACGAGTTTACTGCAGTTAGAACTGCCAACAAAAATCTAATTATGTAGAAAAATGAAACTGAAAGTCACATTATTTAACATTAGTCTTATGGGTAGCTAAGTAACCATGTTGGTTGAATTAAATAACAAGGAATAAACGGTATCAGCATTCTGACACATACTTTCTCCCATAAGTTTGTCAACAACCTTTATCATGTGTAAGCGGTGAGAGTAAATATACGGAAATGGGATTTGTACAATTTTCTTCAGAATTTAAAGGACTATAACATACTAAATTGTTATCAAAATCGTTCGGGCCAATTTTGGGGGAATCTGATTTTCCGTTATTTTATGGGGTTTTTATGGCAAAACAACATATTTTACAATAACTTTTGAATCGTAATTTTTACAGAAATGGGATTTGTACCATTTTGTTCAGAATATAAAGGACTATAACATACTAAATTTTTATCAAAATCGTTCGGGCCATTTTTGGGAAAATCCTATTTCTCCGATATTTTATGGGGTTTTATGGGAAAATCCCCATTAAAAATAAAAATTTCTAAAAAGTGAAAAAAACTATCAAAATTGTAAGGACCATAACATAATATGTTAAATCAAAGCCGGATCTTTGTCTAAAACCCTATTTTTTGTTATTTTATGGGGTTTTTATGGGAAAATAACATAATTTACCATAACTTTTGAACCGTAATTTTTACAGAAATGGGATTTGTATCATTTTGTTCAAAAATTTAAAGGGCTACAACATACTAAATTTTTATCAAAATCGTTCGGGCCATTTTTGAGAAAATCCGATTTTTCCGGGTTTTTATGGGAAAATCCTTATTGAAAATCAAAATTTCAAAAAAATGAAAAAAAGCCTGGAGATACCATGGATTAGAACCTACATACCAAATTTCATCGAAATCGGACCACAGGTGTAGTCTCTAGCTCTGTATACATCCAGACACACAGACACACACACACACAGACATCACTTCGAAAACCACTTTTTTGGGTCCAGGGGGACCCAAAACGAATATATCCACTCAAAACTCAAACTCGAAAATTTTGACGAAAACAATACTTTCTCCATATACTATGGTATAGGGGAAGAAAATAAAAAGTAAAAGACAATGAGGTTTAACATACATCCAAATAATAACAGTTTATTGTTTTATAATCAAATAATTTATAAATAAAAAACTTTTCTAACGAAACGTTTATAAACGCACTAAAAAGTAGAAAATAGTGTATAAATATGTGGATAGTATAAATACTTGTAAGATTTAAAACGAAAAACGTGGGGTGCATGCAATTGATAATTTACAATTACCTTCACCTATTGAATTATTATCAATTGCATGCACCCCACGTTTCTCGTTTTAAATCTTACAAGTATTTATACTCTTTACATATTATAGATTAATTTCTACTTTTTAGTGTGTTTATAAAGTTTTGTTAAAAAAATATATTTTTTACTTTTTAATTTGAGTGGATGTTAAATCTATTTCAAGCATCTATTTCAGATTAAGACAAAGGCATGTAGGAAATTGGGTACAGCGGATTTTCATCCCCCTGGAATTTTACCCCCTGGGCGAACGTGACGTCACAAACCAGGGGGTAAAATTCCGAAGTTTGGCGACATCAGTTTGATGGATTAAACACGGAATTAAACATATATATTCACGGTTGTGGATTTAATCAGAACACATAAAATTATAAAAACCTAGAGTGTACGGGCCGGAATTTTACCCCCGGACTTTTACCCCCTTCATGAGGTCACCTCAAAATGTACGGTCCGGATTTTTACCCCCAGAATTTTACCCCCTGGCCCAATATATAATACCCCCGTCGTTTGCTGCGGCGGGGGTATTTTCAACTTTACATAACTCGTGAAGTAAAGAAGTATACATCACTCTTGGGATAGGGAAGTTTAACATGGCGGGTTAGGTAAAGAATTAAAACCATGTTTTTGATTTATTCTATGGTTGAAGTTTCGTCACGATCCGTTTTTCTATATTCAATCGTTTAACGTTTAGATTAAATTTTTTACCTTAATGTCTGCCATGACCATTATTTGTGACCATAGTGTGAAAATTGCCAAAGCCAGCCAATAGGAAAATAACAATTATTCAACATGGCGGCTCGGCAATGTTGTACGGCTGCACTTTGGAAGTAATTGAGTTTATAATTTATTTTTTATCAAGGAAGGTGTTGTGACTTGTGATTTATAAAATTTGTAGTATTCATGCTTTATTGCGGAGTTATTTAAGTTTTTATTGTTCAGTGAATAAAACCATGTCGGTGATGAAAAAGCCTCGGAGGAACATCCGCAGAAGGGATTTGGATAACGATGAAAACGATGGCGAGGAAACAGAAGTCAGCCTCCTTCAATTCAAGAAAACAACATCAAATAAGACATCCGAAGTGAAAGTTAAAAAAGAAAAAAAGAAGCCTTCGGTCCTGAGCTTTGAAGAGGAGTGGAATGATGGTAACTTAAACATAAAATTTTTAATAAAAATAAAGCCTAACCTTAAATGTAGGGTAATAAATTTGTATGACCTCCTTGAATGTAGGCCTAGTATCCGACTTATCCTGGTAATACATGATTTAGGCTATCTACCTTTTGTATTTAGGTTTAGGCTACTTAAGGCTAGGCCTACCAAAATACTTTACAAGCCTACGAAGCTGCATTGTTTACTGTTAGTGGTGATAGTAGGGTGTGTCAACTTCTTTTTACTTACTTGTCTTCACCACCTACAATTAACGGGTACAGTTTCTTAACTGGGCTATGCTAATATCGATTGAAACTATCGATTCGATTAGTAAACTTTCATGCGATTTTTTCACCATCAGCAAGTTTGGTTGGTTAGGTTAGGTTATGATAACTTGGTTAAATTTTATAGTAGGCCTAGATATATTTAAAAATATCGATTATTAATCAATATTTTCAATTTGATAGTTTCCATTATTTGTAAAAATATCGATTATTAATCAATATTTTCAATTTGATAGTTTCAATTATTTGATTTATTTCTTCAAGATGTAGTTTCAATTGGACAATTTTATTCTGTAGGCCGTGTTGTATGTTGAGATGAAAAATTTTGTGGTTTTGTTCATGGAAAGTATTTTTGTCTTTATTGTTAGTTATATGGTTGTAGGTTATGCTTTTTCTTCCTGGGTTTGCGTTGGGCTTAATGTTTTTTTGGAGGTTTTTTGAAGGAGATGTCGCTGAGTCAGTTGATGTTCTAGGAGTTTGCATGTTTCTGCTGTCGATTTCTTCTTCTGGTGGAGGGTTGTTATGTTACACAGTTAGTGTTTTGGGTGCTGTGTGGCCAAGGTCCTTTAGGATGAAATTTGCTAGTTGGAAGTCGCCCAGAGGGTTCAGGTGTAGTCTGTCTTTATCGATTCCTCGGGTTGTCACTTCTTCGTTAGGGTCTCTAATAACTAGGTGCAGGTTGTCGCACATGAATCGAAGTGCCTCGTTAACTTAACTCTCACATAGTGATGTAAAATACCCAGGTATTTAAAACTCGGGGTAAATACCCTGGGTATTTACCCGGGTAAATACCCAAAATCCATAAATACCCGGGTATTTTGGGTATTTATGAAATAGATTGAAATTCATTTTTATCTACCCCTAAATATGTTATTGTTATCATTACATGATAAATTAGGATAGTCTATTTCACCTTTTACAGTAACTTGAAGCTTTGCAGAATTGCTAGTACCTTTTATTTAATGATTTAGCACTTTTTTTTATGGAATCAAGACAACACCTCATCAGAGAAATAGTGAACCTAAATCTACTTCTACTGTTATTAAATTATGATAGTTAAAATTTGTATTGTGTAAATGGCTTGGAAGGCTAGACAGACACAAGGCCTGATTGATATAGGCAGAATGGCAGAATACTGAATGTACAGTAGACTCCCTCTTATCCGGACTCCTCGGGACCGAGGCTAGTCTAGATAACGGGTTTTCTGGTTAAACCGACGTCCCCAAAAACTTGTTAAAACAGAAACCGTGTACTGGTACTGTCATATTCGACTTTAATTTAGGAGAGCATTGTATTTAGATACGTGATCACTGGTCTCAAATCTTTCCCACGAGAACAGTCGTTTCAGTACCGCTCACTTCTTGCCAATCTAGTCAGGTTAAACTAATGGGCTGATAAAAATTGTCCGGTAGGTGTCCGGATAAGAGGGAGTCTACATTAAACTTTTCTGTGTTACCGCTTAGTTGGGAACAATAATATATTAGGATAAACCTATTAAAAAATGTATCTCCTGTTTTTTGGTCTAACATAGGGCCTATAATATAATTTTGAAAGGTTTATTGTGCTATAGATTCAAATTTTTTGTATCACAAGTTTATGAAATTAGTTTTTTTTTTTTTTTTTTTTTTATAAGTTTACCAACAAAAGATCTAGAGCAAAAATATTATTAAATCCTGCCATCCTACAGATTGAATTTTAATTAGGCCTATTTTCTTAAGTTGTTTACACATAGGCCACTACTAGGTTAAATTTTCCTGTCTTTCTAAATAATAATTATTACTTTACAAATTATTTTTCTTAACTTTTAATAAAATAAATTCATCTATCTATCACAGAAATTAAAAAATCATAAGTAGTCAGGACCAGTGCAACCATGCGACCAGGGTATTTATGCCGATTATGCTTTATGCTCAGACCTGGGTATTTATGGCGATCATACCAAGAAGTAAAATGCTAGTAGTGACCATATGAAATTTTGTTTAACACATTTTATTATCATTTTGCTATCCTTACAAGGTAATAATTGCAAAAAAACATCTCAATCTTCTCTAACTTTAATACAAATTATAAATACCCAGTTTTTGGGTATTTACCCCAGGCCCGGGTAAATACCCAGGTAAATACCCAATTTATATTTACCTACCCACTGGGTATTTACCCGGCCCACATCACTACTCTCACATATTGTGTCGATACATCTCTTCTGTAGAGAATTCCATTTATTATCCATATCGTATCTTGGAATTTCTTTTTGCTGATTCTAAGGTGGACCATAATGGTCTCATGACATCATTTGGAGTTTTTGAGTAGAAGAGATTGTTTGTGCCTATAGGAACTACTACTGTATGTGGTAGGGTTTGGAGTGTTAATAGGTGCTTGCTCAGGGTTTGTATCCTGGCTCCCGGCATATAGTGTGTCTGAATATCTGGTGTGTGTTCTGTGTAATGTTTAATGTTCCGAACAATGGAGTCTCCTAGTATCAATACTTCTGAGTTGTTTTTAGTACTGTTTGGGTGATTTTGTTTTTGTCAAAACCCAAACTTGAGGACCACAGTAGGCCTAAACAGTTAATCCATACTAAGTTGTAGGAAATTTGCTAAAATAAGATTAAGTTATATAATAAAATAGTGCTGTTCTAACACAACCTAACTGAACCAAACTTCTAGAATGTTAGTAAACTCCTTTTGATGTCAGAAAAAGAGTTCCTAAATCTAACAAAACACTTAATACAGCCCAGAATGCCCATAAAGCTTGATCTAACACCCTAAAGTGCCTAAATAAGAACTACTGGTAGGCCCTACTTTGTAACTACTTGGTAGGTACTTGTTTGTAACTAGTCTGCTTGTCCATCTATCATCATAATGTGGTAAAATTCCCTTTTAAAGATAACATTACTGGGTACTTTCGTATTATATGGAGGCCACCTTTACACAGCGCGCTGTGATGGTTAAAATTGTTAGGTTGGGTTTTATCATACATTTTTATGACTCATCTGGTATCGTTCGATTCATAACGAAACTAGGAAAGTCCTACAAACATATTATTGATAACCCAACCTAACATAACTGCCACAGCGCGCTGTAAAATAAGTGGCCTCCGTACAATACCAGAGTAGGTCTACTCATTATTGACTACAGAATCGCTTGATATGGTTCTATCGTCAATGATAATTTTTTAATCAATGATATTCTCCTTCTTACCACTATAATCTATGTACCTCTATTTCACTTCACTTGAACTTAGCGTAGCCGTACAGATGCAGTAAAGTGAAATTACACCATTAAGGTCTAATGCCTAAAAGACCTTCAAAAATTGTATATTTGAACAGTGATATCACCTTGTAATATTCATTTGCGGTGTTAAATAAAGGTAGGTAGTCTTTGTTTAGATTAATGTGGTAAAACAACCACCTAAAGTAAAATAATAGAAACTGAAAATCTGTGTGGAGGCACCTAGAATATAATACTGATCACCAATGCTCTGCACCTGAACTAACTCAAATACAGTAATTCAAAATTGTAATTCATTGTAAACAGCAATTCATTGTAGGCCTATAGTGTCAAAATATATTTGTAAAATTGTTTCAGCTGACGATGGTGAAGTTTTTCAAGTTAAAAAGTCATCTCACAGCAAAAAGATCAAAAAGTATATTGAAAAAGAAAAGGACAAGAAGAAGAAGAAAGAAGACAAACCTGAAGATAGCGAGGGAAGGGAGAAAACCAAAGAAATAACTTTCAATAATGAATTAACAATCAAAATAAAAAATAATCTGGTAAGTTTAATTGTTATTAAAAATATATATTTTTAGCGATATTTGGTACCGTATAGGCTAGCTATTTGTGTAGTGTCCAATTTAAACAAAATCTAGCAATAGGGGCTAGCCCAAAAATATAGCTTGGTCTAACATGCTAATATTTTTACTATTTTTAAGTATAATAAATTATGATGATTTAACACATGCATTAGTTATAAAAAATTAATTGTCTGGGTATCGTAGTTGATTGCTCAAATAGGCTAGTGCTTGCCTTCAAATCTGAAGGTCGCTGGTTGGATTCTTAAAGTAACATTTTTCTTGGAGAAAAACGTTTCTGATTTCTGATTCCATCGTTACCAAAAAAATTGTTACCAAATGCATGCCTTTGTCATTGGGCTAACAGTTAACTTAGACAATAGACAATAGACAAAATATTTATTGAAATAATCCTAGAGAACATTCATGTGTCAGAACTTAATGATGCTCTACCAAAAGTTCAAAGTTAGATAGTAACAAGACCAGGGTATGGACTGTTCTTTTACAAAATGTTGAAGAGGCCCGTATAAAAAAGTAAACTAGGCTACATATTAAAATATTTTTATTAAGTTTCTACCTATACTATATTAGTCTGACCTAAGTAAGAGAAAATGTGTTACATTCTCTCTCTCCATCCCGTCGATTCAGTTGTAAAAGACCATTTAATGGATGTAGTCTACCAGTTGTAATGCGTTGCTCGAGATAATCTTATTTCTTTTAACTTGAGTGTTAAGTTAAAGTTTGAATCATGCCTTATGATATAGACATAGTTTATGTTTAAGTTTATAATGAAAAGTTAACCCTAGTAGACCAACCTAAGTTAGCTCTGTGAGCATCTAAGTTACCGGTACTGAGTTGGGTTCAATATTTTGTGCGTCATGTTTCAGCCTTTGATTCCAATTTTGAATGGGAAAGAAGCAGAAATGGCCGAAATTGATGGTTCTAGCTCTGAAGATGAAAAGGCGACACACAAATACTCTCATCCCGATAGTGTTAAGCAATTGTTGAAAAGTGAGTAGTAATTTATATCCTAAATATACTATAACCATTGCCTCCCCTAATACAAGGGGCCGCGAGACAAAAGTGATAATGCTGCAGTTCCAGCCTATTGAAACAGCTGTTGCACTGATTTATAATGGATCTTCTGCGCATTGTCTATGTTAAAACATTTTATATTACCGGTACTGTTATAATCATGACAGCAGGCCCACAGGTGCCACAATGCCACATCAACGTATTAGTGGAAGCTATGCTATAACTTACTGAAGTGACATTTCTTGAATGTATTTGTTCATAAGATAACCTAATTCCCTAAGAAAAGAATAATTGCACAATATTCTTGATGATGCAATGTACCTAAATCAATATAAGTCAGAAATGTGCATAGCTTGGTGTATAATAATGCAGCGAATGCCCTGCTATGGTTTAGCTTTTGTAGACGCTGCAGATGTGTAACTATTGCTTCAACAACTTATGTATTCTATTCATTTTATCTTCCAATAGCTGCCATGTTAACATCAATCACATATGCTATCTATAAGGCAAGTATGTTATTGGAACTTATGATTTGAAACAGTTAAATTGGTTTCTGTACAATGGTTAAATTTTGGATATTTTGGTGTTCTTATCTATCATATTTTCTACATTAAGTATTCCCTACTAATTATGTAATTTTCAGGTGGAAAAATTCCTGACGCTGCTATGATCCATGCCGCGAGGAAAAAAAGACAACAGGCTCGTGAAATGGGTGATTTCGTACCTATTGAGGAAGACAAACCGTGAGTTGCTAGGAGTTTTATTTATTTATATGGACTTATTAAAAATGCTATCTACCTTTAGTGATAATTAAATTTTTTGAAAAAAGTTTTCAGATTTTACAGTAGGCGCGTTATTACTGATAAGCCGGTAAATACATTTATTTGATACAGTTTGAGTGTAAATATACGATAAAATTAGGCATGTTATCAATGAGAATGAGAATCAGAAGTTTTTCACTTAGAATCCTTGTTACCTTCTATAGTTCAGCTAAAGATATGATAGTAGGCCTACCTAACAATTCTAAACTATGAACTTAAATGCAACAAACTATTTAGTAAGCAAACAAATCAGGTCAGAATGGTCCCATCTAAATTCAACCAACTAAATTAAATACAACATGTGCAGCTTTTTAATTCATCCCTCATTTCTATTGTATTTTTATTTTTAGTCAGCCCTAACAAAGACCCTATCTTTATCATAAAATAATATTAAGTTTATTGATGATTAGGCTAAGTCCTTTCATAAACATTTTAATATATCCATTCAGTTCAAATCTATACAATGGTTTATCAAATTAATGTACCTACTAACAATTTATCAAGTACTGTTAAAGATTTTATATGACAGTTTTTTATTTATCTTGTTTTTATTTTTAGTTTTGTATTTATCTCCCATAAGAGAATGGGAGGGAGACAGTGTCACAGTTTTTAACAGAAAGATCGGGCGTTGGCTTCTTGGACTAAGCGATGATTCTGCCAAAGAGCTCATCAGATCCCAGTACAGGACATAAGAAAGTCGATAACACATTACAAAACTGAATTGAACTAAATTACCTGTATATCCTCTTGCATATCTTTTTGTAATGCTAGCTTCTTTTGTTCATAGTCCACCTGTTACTAATGTTGTATGTTCTATTTAGTAGTATTACTATTCTTATGCATCTTGTGTTCACCTATTGTATTATTTAGTATTTATTATTGCTTGTTATCTCCCGTATGTAATGGTATTATTGTACAATGGCTTCTCCCGTGAATAAACGAATTGAATTGAATTTAATTGAATAGACTGAACGATTGCAAATTACTTCAGTACTGGCACCCTCATTCAAGTATTCTTAGTTTTGCGTATTGATTGTTTTCAATCTTTTCTAAGTAATATTAGTTTTTCCTCAGTTATTTAGATCTGTTCAACTCATTATATAGTAATTGTTCATGTTTATTTTAGTTTTAGCCAACGTTAAGGCAAACAAATATTATTTTTAAAAATTTCTTTTTATTTAAATTACTTGTTTATTGTGATCTTTTGTCCGTGAAGTGATGAGTGACAAAGAAGACTCTCCCCACACACAGATGAACAGTCTTTGTGAGGATTTTTTCCCTTTGTACATTTGTTATTGAGCCACGATTGTTATCTCTGAATTGTAATTTTGGAAATAAATAATATTCTTATCTTACAGATACGACAACAAGAAAGGGCGATTGGTGAGAGAGGATGAGAATGACATGTGTGACGAAGACATTCGGATCACAATGCAAGTGAACACCGCAGCTGCCGACATGGAGCGTCGCAGGGAAGCGTTCACTGCAGCCATGGATCACCAAGGTATGACAACGTCCTAAGTCTTCGCAAGCTGTTTAAAAGCAAAAATATTCACAGACAACGTACATCCTGGAGCAACATTGCCGACAATGTCACAAAATCCTGTTAATTTGCTGGCGTTATTAGTTTCAACAACCCCTGCTAGAAGACATTGTGAATTCATTTCTGTGATTTTTGGACCGTGTCACTGTTGCAGCACAAAAATTGGTGGTACAAATTGGATACCAAACTGTTTTTCCAGTTTTTTTATATTTTTTTAATTTTTTCCAAAAAAATACAAATTTACAAAGCGCATACAATTCAGCCACAAAAGCCATTTATGACTTGTCTGCAGCAATTATTATAATTTTTGTTATTTCACAGTGCTTTTTTATTCAATCAGTCTTTTGTTTCCCTTGTTTTTCTGTAAGTAAACTATATCATGACACAGATTTCAATAATATACCAAACTGTTGATATATGTTCTATGCATAACTGAATTGAGCAATTAGTTGTTTGATGACCATATATTTGTAGTTTTTTGTGTTTGTGATTTGTTATGCAAGTTTTTACTTTCTCACCCTATGCATATTATGGAGAAAGTATTTTTTCGGCAACATTTTCAAAATTAAGCTTTAGATGGAAATCAATTTTTAAATTTTGATTTTTTATCGTGTTTTTTCAAATAGTAACGTAAAAATTTTATAAATGATAGCAATGCTAACAATTTTTATTAAAATTTAGAACGTTACAGCCCTTTTAACTCTAAACTAAATTGGTACAACTCGTAACACTCTAAAAATTATGGTTAAAATTGTATTGCCATTTTTGTAATTTTCTAAAGCATCATAGTTACTATACTCGCAGGGTGAATTGAATGGAGCTGATAAATTAACTGTTTTCACAAACTTAAGGCTTTTTTTACAGCTTCAGAAGAGAGTGATAAAGGAGAAGAAGAGGAATGGGAAAAACAACAAATTAGAAAGGGAGTAACTGGAGCACAGGTAAAAATCATTTCAAAGACTTGCAGAATGAAAAAAAGATAAGATTTAAAAGATGGAGATTACCTATATTAAAATTTAGATTTAACAAAATTTAATAATATTTTTATATAAGCCTTGACTTAGCCTGATACACTGCCTTTTTAGAATTTACGAAGTTCTGTTATGAACACTGGAAGCACCTTAAACAATTGTTTTTTGAGTCTAAATAATATTGTGTGTCTACTGTTGACATTTTAAAACTATATTTGGTGTCAATAAATACTAGTTAACTAATTTGTAAAAAAAATTCCTAACTCAAATCCATTTTAGATTCAGAACTACAGTGAAACCTTGATCAACCGCCAATCTAATGGATACGGTAACAGATTCATCACCTCAAAATTGTTAGATTCAATATTTGTACTGTAGAATTCTGTTGTGCTATATGCTATATGTTAGCATGTATATAGCCTGTAAACAAAATTATACTATGTGCAATTTAGGTGAACTCTGTGTTGTTTATTTCCAAAATCATTGCAACTTTACAAACTGTAGTCATTTATAAAGGAATTTATTTTACCCACCATGGTACTCAAAAGTGATGAAAATTAAGAGAAGTTTTTTTTCTGTATTTCCTAAGTTTCTTGTTTTAATTCAATGTTTTTTTACTACAGATAGCCGCAGCGCAACAAGAAAGCATGTTTTATGGTTACACAATGCCACAAATTCCGCCAGAAATGAACATGGCCGCCAACAGTCTAATTGTTGAACCTATGTCGACTTTACCGGCAGCTATGACGATGCCGGATATGATGATGGCACCATCAAAAATGGACCCTCAGTCGGTTGCTAAAAGGTTAAATGCAAGGTAAGGTTATTGTTGTTATTTCTCTGTAGATAATTTTGATCCTGTTGAGTTTAACATCCTGTGAATCCTGCCGAGAAGTAACACGAAGTAAGTGTGGATCATTTGACTCTTCAGGGGTAAGTATGTACATTGTACAGCAGGGAAATATCTACACTACCCGGAGAGCATGAAAGCGTTCAACTTTTTATATCTGGATATTAACCTTATTTGGTAAATCTAACCTTATGCATGCTTTAAGTCGTTACATATAAGCATTGTCTAAATGAAAATTGTTCTTGCTTTTTAAAATTTACCAAACAAATAAATGGAAATGTGTTTCAAACTTGTTTTGATTTCTAATTGAAGGCCCATTCTAATTCCAAACACTTTCTAAACGCTTTTTTCTATGATGACGTCAATTCATGTTATAGGTACTTTTTTATTCAAATATTTATTCATAAATTCTCTAGTAGCCTAAGTAACATTTACAACTTGTTTGCTACTACAGCAATATGGAATTTTCCATCAATATAAGAATATTAATGCATGTTATGGTCGGTTTCGTATAACACACTTGCATGTATGGACACAAAAATTGTCGGACTAAAGATATTTATTTCTTTTAAACGGACAAGGCAATAATGTGAAACTTTTAATAAGCACAAAGGCCTTTTGTAGACTAGGATGTGTTAAGAACTTCTGGATGTCTGGTTTTTAACCCTCCATTTTTGTGTTCTTGCAACGTTTCCCAGCAGCAATATTGCTATTTCTACATCAATAGCACCTCAGCTGACATAGTTTTCTCCAACCGTTCCATCAATTGTAAAGCAATGTATGCGTCTTGACTGCACTGTCAGTTATGTCATTCTCATTTTTTTCTTTTTCCTATGGCAAAACTATGTAAACAATGTTTTTATTCAAGGTCAATTAACAGGGTGTCCACCGACCGGGAAAACCGGGAATTATGCGTGATTTTTTTGAACTGGGAAAAAACCGGGAATTATGTGTGAATTTTGTATTTCGGGACCGCGGGAAACGACGATGACGTTTCCGTGACTGCGGGAGACGACGATGGCGTTTTCGTGACCGCGTGTGACGACGATGACGTTTTCGTGACCGCGTGTGACGACGATGACGTTTTCGTGACTTCGGGAGACGACGATGATATCTCCGTGACCGCGGGAGACGTTTCCGTGATCGTGCATGCGGACGATGACGTTTCCGTGACCGCGTGAAACGATGATGATGTCCAACTGCCGCGGGATATATTAGTGATTTTGCCGCGATCGCGCATGCGGACGATGAAGTTTCCGTGACCTGCAGGAGACGACGATGACGTTTCTGTGACCGCGGGAGACGACGATGGCGTTTCCGTGACCACGGGAGACAACGATGATATCTCCGTGACCGCGGGAGACGACGATGATATCTCCGTGACCGCGGGAGACGACGATGACGTTTTCGGTACCGCGGGAGACGACGATGACGTTTTCGTGACCGCGGGAGACGACAATGATGTCCAAAAATACTGCGGGAAATTATTTGAATTAAGCTACGATTGAGGAAGATTTTGATAACTTTACTGTGATCGCGGGAGACAATTATAATGTTTCCGTTACCACTGAACAATATCAGGATTTTTCATGACCATAGACATAGACATACTTTATTTGCACAAAACATTCCATACATGTCTTAACATTTAGAATAGGCGCATTGTCAAAATTAAATCTATACATAAAATATTTAACATTAAAACTTTTAACTTAAAACTAAACACACATTGTACAATCTTAGCCCAGCATACAATGGAGATTTTTCATATAGGGTCAAACGGTGTCTGGGGAGTCTAAATATATTTTCATTTCGGGTTTCATAATGAACCATGGAAGACAGTGGTGATGTTTCTGTTGCTGAGTGAGATATTCAGGATTTTTCAGTAATCGCATAAAACAATGATGGTGTCTCTACGACTGTGTTAGATGATTTCAATATAACCTTGATTTTGGGATGACCAAAAATTTCATAATGGCACTCTTCTAGAAAGATTTTTTATATTTTTTTGTAATATCTTCATTTACCTTTAACATTGTATTTATTTAATGGAAATGTGTTGTGTTTAGAAGGGTTTAAAACATAAATTGGCTACGCGCAATTTTTGTAATTTCTGCATTATGATTTCTCTAGGCCACTTGGAAAACAACCCATTACTCCAACATTATACAATATGAAAGTACATAAAGCCAGGGGTTGGTGTAGTAACCCTTAAGAAAATTAGGTAAAATTGAAATTATCAGTATTAAGACACTATTTATTTTTCAGGTGTCTGTACAGAGATTCGATAAATTTTGGTATCGACATATCACTATTTTTAGGCAGTTATTAATAAATTGCAGGTTTAAGGATTAGTTTTTAATTTTTGGATTATTTAATCAGTAATATATAAAAATTGAATACTTGTGTCAGGCAATATTACAGCAATCATATTTCCCCCCCCCCCCCCCCCCCTTAACTGAGAATGCTCTTTCCGATAACTAAAATACAGGGTGTCTAGTAGTCTGGAAAATCGGGAAAGTCGGGAATTAGTATTGAATTTCAAAATGGTCTTGAAAAGTCGGGATTTAGTCTTAAATTTGATTTCAAAGTCGGGAATTTTTATGATTTTGCCGTGATTGTCGTCTTCCGTTTACGTAACCGCGAAAGCCAATGATGATTGTCCTCACGGCCTCGGGAAATGTACATGATTTTGCCGCGATCGCGGACGACGACGATGACGTTTCCGTGACCGCGGGAGACGACGATGATGTCTACACGGCCGCTGGAAATGTTCGAATGATTTTGCCGTGATCGCGGACGTCGACGATAACGTTTCCGTGACCGCGGGAGATGACGGTGATGTCCAAACAGCCGCGGGAAATGTTCATGATTTTGCCGCGATCCCGCACAACGACGATGACGTTTCCGTGACCGCGGGAGACTTAGATGATGTCTACACAGCCGCGGGAAATGTTCATGATTTTGCCGTGATCGCGGACGACGACGATGACGTTTCCGTGACCGCGGGAGATGACGATGAAGTTTCCGTGACCGCGGGAGACGACGATGATGTATACCCGGCCGCGGGAAATGTTCATGATTTTGCCGTGATCGCGGACGACGAAGATCACGTTTCTGTAACCGCTGCAGTCAATGATGATGTCTAAACGTACGGTACGCAGAAGATTTCATGATAAAAAAAACCAAATTAGCTAGTTTTTTTTTATTGCTGCATTATTTCTTTACTTGAAAACACCACATTATCATAATACTGCTTTATGACAAAGACAAAGAGTTGGTGTAATACTATTTAGAAAATTTGGTTAGAAAAAGCTATAAAAATTGGTATTGGTATCAAGAATCGATACATTTTGGTATCAACACCCACTAATTGTTGAAAAAACTAGTCTTGAAAAATCTGGAATTAGTCTTGAAAAGTCTGGAATTAGTCTTGAATTTTATAATGGAAATAAACTAGACACCCTGAAAATAGCGAGCTGTGTTAGAGCGCTAAAACAGCATCGCGGGAGTTGGCGCAAAACACGTTGGAAATTTTAGTATGAAAAGTACGACCTGAACTACCTGGACATTTTTTTTACTCATGAATTACTCATGAATTTTTTCTGGTTGGCCTGGTGGACACCCTGATTAACTGCCTTTCTTCTTTGTACATAATCTTCTCTGCATTGCCTAAATCACACTATGATGCCTTACGGGGTTGTGTATTTTGGTTAATCATCATTTCCCTTAAGAGTTGTGGATTAAGGAGGTTCTACAATAATAATCATAAATTGTAATTTATGAGTTTTTTTTCAAACACCATTTAAATTGTATGTTTTCGACCAATGTTAAACCAGCGTCTGTGCCACAGGCTCCAGGAGTTGAGGGAGATACATCAACGTCATGTGGAAGAGCGAGACGCAAAGTCTGCCGAACTGGCACAGTTGAAGGCGGAATGCGTGGCTATAAACAAGGAAGCGCCGACTCTAGCCGAACGCTTCCGCTTCTACCAAGACTTGCGTGGGTATGTGACAGACTTGGTAGAGTGTCTAGACGAGAAGGTGGGTGCCTTTATGACTTTCGGGGGGTTAGCCAACCTATCAGACACTTACTGTAGCAGTAGAACCTTGTATGGCAAACTAGCGATGGTCAAAATAAGAAATTTCATATACATAACCAGAGCCGACACTTAAAAAAATCTAGTCTCAAATCTCAAATTAATACAATGCCAAAATAAAAATTTAATCTATAATACTAGAAAATTGCAAATACATTCCCGCTAGTACATTTGACAACAACCCTAATGACAATAAACATTATATTTTCAGTAAGGTTATTGATGACTATCTCCCAGACCATTATTGTAGAGAGAACATAATTTAGATAAAGTCTAATTGGCATGCTATGTACTTCTTGGCAATAAAATCAATTGTTGTTTTATTCAAATAAATTTGGGTTTTATTTTATTACTTATTATGGTCTTTAGGTCTATCTGTCTATGTAATAACTATCCATGCTCATTGGATTTTTGTACTTAAAGCTTTCAATGTATTATTGAAGCGATGGATGATTCTAGGGTTTTATAAGCTTACATAATCATACCTTGAGTAAATTACACACTTGCAGTAAAGGTTAGGAACCCTGATGCTGTGTATCCAAATTAGTTGCTTCAATTTCACCTTCCTTTTTGTTTAGTGATGTGATAAAAACACTTATTAGTGTTATTATATTACTCTCATATTGTTTCAAGTTTGCCACTGCAAAATGATAAATATTTTGTTTACTTTATAACCGCCGCTTAGCTCCTATCTTTTTGTTTGGTGTGTGAAAAATAATTTATTTAGCCGTAAATTTAAAATCGTACACGCCCGAAGATCAAATTTGAAGAAATCAAAATTGCTTTATCATGTAAGTGTCTGATGTGTCTGGTGCATGGGGCTATTTTAATCTTCTCTGTATTTTGTTCAAAACGTTTTTTGTACAATTTGTTGTTTCAGCAGTTAGAATCTCTTCAGTATAATTGAAACTGGACCTTAGTTGGAGTAGACTCAATGCAAAAAAGTGGTATTTTGTTCTGTGGAAGAAAATTCAATTCCAAATCTTTGACTATTGAATGTTATTCTTTTTTTCAATAAGTACCAACACAATTTGATAACAAGATATAAAAAAATACTGTCATAAACTTACATTTGTATAACTAAATACCCCATTCGCAGCAAACCTGCAAAGTATAAAATTTTTATTCTTTGAATTCAAAACGTTTATCAAAGTTTATGTTCATGCTAAATTTATTTGTTGAAACTCCCAACGAGCATACTTGTATCTTTGATCAGCCAAATGCTTTATTAGGCAGAACCCTTATAATTATACCCTTTATAAAATGATACAGTATAACCTTATCTCTCTGAACAATTGTTATATTACCTTTCAGTAACTTGTGTTATACATTACAAAATGATTATTGGTTGTATCGACAGTGTGGATAGTACCCATTTTCGCTTACAAGTAGCGCTTTACCTTAACTCGTTCGCTGCAGCCCACCAATGGCAGGCGTAGCCTGGGTGCAGGGCAGCGTCAAACGAACCCTTTTGGCTTGAAATATTTTGGTCTGGCGAATAGTAAATGACATGCGGTGATGTGCTGTGTTTCGACAAGAGTCGACATAGTTTGATAAAACACTCACAGATAGCAACACTGTTTGGAACTAGCCGCTCCTATTGTATTGCCAATTGGAGGGAGAAAGACGGGACGACAAGTTGATTTCTAAGCTTGCCAGAAGGGGATTTTACAAGGAAATTTACTACCAACCTACACCACTTTAAAGCACCCAATCCTAGCTAAAGGCAGACAGAAATTGAATGGAATGAAGGTGATGCCGGCACTCACTGGTGAGCGTTCAGTGTGACAGAGAGGAAGTAGAGCACTCACGGGTGAGTGGCCCGCAGTGAACGTGTTAAACAGTACATAAAGTATATCACCACGATAATAGACAAAAACTTGACAAAAAAGTGTTCTTAAGGGGATTTCTATAAATTTTAAAGTTTTTTGTGCAAAATTTTTACTACATCAACTCAAGCTTTGCTGTTTTAATAAACAGATAAATACTTACAAATAATAATATTGATTTTTTTATTTAACACAAAACAGCACACTACACGCCAAACAGTTTTGAAAGAAAATACATCTTTTCCTAGAGTAATAATGTATACAGTGGTAGAATATGACAAATCTTATATATTAACTGTAGGAATACAGGTCAAAGGCATTTTATAAAACCTCCATAAAAGCTTTCTTACAAGCTTCCATATTGGTGTGTTTACCTACTTCTGTAACGAGACACTGTCTAAACAATTTTGTCTTTGATTGAATCCAGTTTTGAACATGTAAAAACTGTTTCTTCCTTGTTGCAGATTGTTGTACTGTCGAGCCTTGAGCAGAGGTTGTTGACTCTATATCGCAAACGGACGATGGACCTGATAAACCGACGCAGACAAGATATGCGCGACCAAGCGGAAGAACTTTCTCCGGCAACCAGTCAGTAGACTTGCATTCATTTAGTTGCTGGCAGCTGTTATAACAAATTTAACCACCTTATCAATCTTTAAAATCGGATTTGACTTTTGAGCTGTCACAGACTTTTTTTTACAAATCGTATTTTTATGCAGTAGTTTTTACTTCTCTGCCTAAAATGGTCATGAAGAAGGCTGGCTGGACTATTCTCAGTCGCGGAAAGAACTAAATTTGAGTTATAGATGATTTCTATTCTCCTAAACATACTTAAGTTTTTTATGTAAAATGCATAATTGTTAATGTTTAACTTTGAACAAAACTTTGAATTTATCTCAATAATTTATTGATTGCACAAAAATTGATTCAATTATACTTACCCCTGCTTAAATAATCATGCATCAATAAAAAACGTGTCTTTTAAAGCCCTACACTCTTACACTAAAAAGTACCAATATGTGTAGTTTGATTTATGTAACTATCAATTAACAACAATAAGTAAGGGTTTAGACAAAATGTCACAATTAATACTTGGAGACTGTTTGATATATTGTGTAGTTAATAACTAAACTAAGCTTTTTTGGATTTTTAGTGAGGACATCAGGCGCACCTGGGAAAAGGTCCAAACTAGCACTAGTTCTGCGTTAAATTGGACTTTTCCCCACTCAGATAGGCCTGCTATCCTGGGCCACTAATGTGCCCTATTTGTGCTCTATTTTACATTCTCAACCTCTAACTATGATTTTATCGAAATTACTTGTTTCAAGACCTAACAATTATTACGTTTTACTTAATATCTAATCATTCCATGAACTTAACTGTTTTATCTTTTGTGTAAGGATTAGAAAAATAATTAACATTTCTATGAATATCGTAAATTCTAATCCATTTTACTAGTTTTTTATACTAATTTGATCGTAGCCGATATTTTATCATATTTAATCGGACACCTACATGTTTCACCATTAATTGCATCGTCATAGTAGCAAAAACAAAATTGACATAACTGACACACGCACACAAATAATAATTACAAAACAAACATTTAACACTAATAAGCCTAATGATTTTTTTTTAATCGCCGCTTGTTTCTGGATTTGAATGATACACACGGTAACCTTAATACTTGTATAAATAAACGTACGATTTGGTTTATCCTCTTTTATTAAATCATTTGAAAGTTATTAGCAAAAAGATTATTGATTTTTTTGGTTTTCAATTTTTATAAATTAATCGGAAAGCTAGTATATTTGATTATTGATGCAGTATCCAATAGTTGCTAGTATTTAATTCTAGTATTTGAGTAGACTCTTTAAAGTTTGTTAGTGCATGATGCAAATTCACTTGCTTTGTCAAGGTGCAATATCAAAAATTGTTTTTAAATGTGCCAGAGAGGGTATTTAATAAGATCATTGACAATTTTAAATCTGATTTATATCTACAAATTACCAGCTTTGTTATTTACGTGTGTTATATGACTAGTTATTTTCAGATTGACTCTTATATGGTAGAGTTTGTCAGAAGTAATGACTTGCGTCACCATTAGCTTGTGTCTCGATTAGCAATTGGTCGGTTAAATACTACTTTTGTGTTCTGTGTCATTTTCATGTTTAAAAACTTTAAGCAAACTTCACTCTGATGAATTTTCAACCCACATAACCTGAAGAAGCACTTAACAGCAGCGCAAAACAGCTGTTATATGTTCAACTACAATACATCAATTTGAAAGTAACACAGGTTACTTTAACCTTAATTTGGGGAGTGTGGCGATCTAGAGGTTAAAAGATTTGTCATTTTAATTTAGTTTTATAGAGTCTAAAAAGGAAATAATACACATAAGAATATATTAGAGGTGTCCGATAAGTGTAAAGTAAACCATAATTATTTACTTAATGCGGTGTCTTCTGTGTGAACAAAGTCAAAGTTACTATGAGTATCTTTGTTTGAAGTTCATTTTTGGTGTTGGTAAGTTTATGTTATTTAAAGGATATTGCCAACATGTATTACGTAACGATTAGTAAAAAATGTTAAAACTTTATAAAACAATGATGAAAAATGTCGGCAGTATTCCCTAAAATTATTGAGTTTGTTGAAGCAAGTATTTAGTAGCATCCTTAACCGAATTCCTTGAAAATATGCCTGTATCTCTTTGAATCAAGTTATGGGTATTTTACTGCAGACTTGATTTGGAGATTGAATTGTGCTAAACTTGTATTTTTAACTACTTATTCAACTTATTAGTTGTATGTTGAAGTTAGTTATTTGTAGGTTGAATACTAAGTTAAATAAAACTGTATGATTTTCAGATTTTTTATACTTAACACAAATATTACTTTGACAGAAAACACAGTAGCCAAACGAGATGAGATGCAGACAAGACGGGCGGCCGAGCGAGAAGGGCGGAGAATTAGACGGATGAAGGCTCGTGAGGCGAAGGGAACGCAGAAACACATCGAGGGAATGAGCAGTGATGACGAAGTGACGGAGATGGAGACTGCGATGTTCCGGAGTCAGAGAGGTAGAGTTTATATCTGATGAGTCGAGTATTTTTAATCTACTCTAGTGAAAGTTTTCCGATTCTGCTTCCACTCAATTTTTCTATCGCACTGTTGACTTTTTGCAGCAACTTGGAGAAAAGCTCAAGTCCTTTTTTCAGAAAAATTTTTGTGTGCCCATTTAACAAATTTGCGTAAAAACGGGGTTTCCCCAGTCAAAATCCCCTGCGGAAAATCCTATTTAGTCTGTTGGATTAGGCTGGTTGGTTAGTGAGTCCATTTAAAATGTAATTCAATCCACATGCTATCAAAATCAAAGTACTAGGGTTACAGTGACAAAGAACACAATTGATATACAAATGACTTGTTAAAACAAACAAAAAAAGTTGTTATTTAGTTTCTAAAGACTGGGACAAATTATACTGTCCCAGACCTAGGTCCTCCTTGAAAACTACAATCATATCTACTATCTTAAAAGGAATTTGACAACAGTGGCTTTCTAGATTACATTGTGAGATTTTAAATTACAGTACTATTTGGAGTTGTGGTAAAAATTGATTGTTTGTCTTTGAGTAAACCTAACCAAACTATTATATAATTTTAACTAACTACTATATAGTTACTACATTATAGTAGTTTACACAACGATCACATAAAGGTAATGTTAATTGTTAACGACATGAGTCGAAATTTTAAGGTACGATCCTCGGTGAGTGCCTTAGAAAATTCTACGAGTGTCATTAAGACTATCTACGCAAGTTGCGTACACTACTTTACCTACAACAGTGTTTTAATTACTAGCAATAACTACTAATAGCTTCTAGGAGAGGTTATGTTTTTGTTCATAACCTCTCAGTGCCACTGACAGTGATGCAACAAACCATTGAACCAAACACTAATTGCACTGCTCATTGACAATTAAATTGGTCAAAACAGCTGATTAGTTGAACACAATTTTACATGTCTCTCAATCCTTCAACCTTTTTGGTCCGTTACCTGTGTTGTTAAGTAAAACAACAATACTGTTAGTGTTAAGTGAATCTTGTCAATTCTGAGAACTGAACTGAAACCGCTACTTTAAAAAACTGTCGTAGGTAAAAGTATTAACACAACTGCTGTGATAATAATGGATTTTCGTTGCAGAGCAAGTTCAAACTGAAGCTAGACACATGTTCGAAGATGCTTTGGATGAATTTTCAACAGTTCACGGAGTGTTGCAACGTTTTGCCTTGTGGAAGAGAACAGATAGAGATGCCTATGTGGAGGCTTATGTACATCTGTGTCTGGCGAAAGCTCTGGGACCTCTGATAAGACTACAAATATTATTGTGGTCTCCATTAAGCCAGGTAGGCAAGGAAAGGGTTTATGTTAATTCTGGAGTTTTTAAGGGATGGACTTATAAATAATATCAGCAGACTAAATAAGCCTAACTCCCTACCATAGGAACTTACTTACAGAGAAGACGGAAGCTCTTTGTTTGAAGTTCATTTTCGGGAATGGTTTGCTAAGTTGTGTTTAAGGGATCTTTGCAAACATTTTATATTTTTCTACACTCAAAGTACTCTCCTTTTTTACTTTTAATGTACAAATAAATATTTTAATTTGTATGTTTTTAATACTAGAAGTATAAGTTTGTCTATTTATGTATATCTTTTAATTAGTACAATTTGTTTTTCCCCAGGGTGAAATGGATTTAGAAAGAACAGGATGGAACCAGAGGTTATTATTTTATGGCATTCAAGGAAATGAAACGGAAGACATTTTGAAAGCAGACCCAGATGTTGAACTTGTGCCAAAAATAGTGGAGAAAGTAATCATTCCTAAACTTGATCGTAAGTATATCTACCATAGTTAGTGAGCGTGTTAGAAGTAAAGTTTACCAATCCTAAGTTTTACTTTGATTTTTTTGGCTGCACAAAGAATAATTGGTACTGTGCTGACCAAAAGGTCAGTCTTCATTCCACTCTTACAAAATCGTGAACAGTGGCAAAATGTTAAGTTTATTTTGTAAATATTTATTTAATTGTATCTATATTTAGATTAGGCCTAATTAGTTTCTTTCATTCCTTTACTCCCCTAAGATTAAATTTCTTAGACAAGTTCTTCTCCTCAAAAATATCATTTCGAATAGGGGAGTTAGGTCCTTTACTGTACTTTTAATAGGGAACCACTTTTTTACCACAGTGCAAACAAAGACATGTGACTGAAAGGATGATTACCTATTTAAATTTTTAAGTTTTAGCTGTGGTGTTTTACCTTGTTGACAGTTTAAACGTTATTTGTCATTTGTCATATCATTGTCGTACCTTGAAAAAAAATGAAATTCTGGGTTTGACAAGAAAACAATTTTTAAACCTTGAATGATTTTGTAAACATCGAGTTTATTATTTTGAGCCATTTATGGACATGTTTTTAGAAGAGTTTTTTTTTTCATTTTCCGTGTTCATTTTGTAAATGATAAAATTGTCATTTTTCAAACTTTCATTTACGAGAACAGTCCTGGTCTTGTTATCTAAAATTTACTATTAGCCTATATAACGTCGTGAATTAGTAGCCGAATGACAAATGGCATCGAGGTCCAAAACAATCTTGCATTTCATTTCATTTCAAACAATCTTTATTCTTTTAGTACATATTTACAGTACATTGAACAGTGTCGAAAAGTGATTCATTATTATAACTTAAAACTAATTTCTAACTTATTTCTACCATAAAAAGAAGGCTATTTATACAATTACAATAGAGATTCTCAACCAAACAAATAACAATCATAAATAAAATAAGAAGGCAGTAAAATATTCTAAACATCCAAAAGCCCTTCAAGTCCCAGAAGTTTTTGAATTTGAACAGTGACTTAAAGATTTGAGGCCAAGCTCTATCACTACTTGGCTACTTAGACAGTTAATCGGACCTTTGGCTTAACCTTACCTGCATGTTTAGGTTGCAAAATCTAGACTACTGCAATGCTAATTAAACATTATGTTGGCAGAGTTAGTGTCGGCCCAGTGGGACCCTATGTCCAGATCACAGAGCCTGTCATTGGTCAATGTGGTGACCAAGCTACTGCAGGACTATCCCACTCTGGGTCCTAACAGCAAGTCACTCACTCAGCTGGTCAACAACATCGTGGACAAGTTGAAGGATGCTGTGGACAACGACGTCTTCATCCCCATATACCCCAAGGCGTAAGTATAGGATCAAGTAACTTATTGTGGACATTCCCTCATGGATAGTAAAAAATCCAGATTAACCAGAAAGGTTTAGTCATACAGTATGGTGCTAAGGGTATCAATACGTAAATTTGACAAAATGCCAGCCATTTTACCATACACTAGGGTATTGACACGTAAATTTGACGTACATGCGCTCCAAGAAACCGCCTAGCAAGGACATAAAGAAACACACAACGACCCAACCAAGGCAGCCATAACATGGCAACTGACTGCTGAGAGCACTGCTGGAAGGAGGGTTGCGTGGTTGAGGGGGTGGGTGTTGGGACGCTAAACATTACTCGCCCTACGTTAAATTTACGTGTGATACCCATCTAGGGTTTAATATAGTAGTAGATTTGTAATCTTTATGCAGCTGAAGACAATTTCTAATGTCCGTCTGGTGCCTGTAGGGGCGTGTTTTTTATTTATGCTTATGTTTATTGTTATTTCTGTTATTTAAAAATAGAAAACCAACAGAATAAAACAATCTGATTGTACAAATATCCTAACCTCTGGTTCTTTAACCAAACAGTAAAGCACAAATCATAAAATTTACCAATTTAGGGCGGGGATAAATTATATTGGCACTAGAGCTCAACATCACTAACACATAAAATAAAACCCAAAATTTTTTTGTTTTTATAGTCAGATTGAAAGGAATCTAGAAAAAATTATATTTATTAAATTATATTAGCATTATATCGGGTTTATTTTTTCCCGATTAATCGAACTCTTGATAATTCAAATTGACTTACTTGGCTCACCAATTTTGAAAAATCAAGAGTCTACTGTATTAAGCATTTATTTTGTTCAATTATTTAAGATTATTTGTGTATGATGATGTGGATTTGGATTGTAATGCTAGGCCTAAATAATTTCAAAATCAAATATCTTCACTTGACTGTTTTTAGATTTTTCAGACTGATGTAAGCAAACCTACTTTTCTCTAGGTTTTATCAACTTTTTCAACAAAAAATTAACCAATTAAAAAGATAATTACCACTATCAATGGTTTTTAATGTGATAATTTTGGCTACAACACCTTTGACCTTGCAAAGTGATAAAAAATGCTGATAACGTGATTCATCTCTTAAAAATATTCTGTCTGGTCAATAAACCAGACTTTCTGTAACTGTTGTAATTTTGCATTGACAATTTTCATATCATTATAGAAAATAATATTTTGCTCTCACCAATATCAAATATTTTGTGACCGATTCAAAGAATGTGAGGGTCTGCAGTAAGTTAGGGTTTTAAGATAATAAATAGAATTTAGATTGGGTAAATTGTATACTTAAGTTCAATTATCCCAAGAAACACATGGAGACGGGTCCACACAAAGTTTAGTTACAGTAGAACCCCTCATATCCGGTCACCACGGACCAAGCCCCTGACCGGATAACGATTTGGCCGGATAAACCAACCTAAGGTAATCAATGTATGCAATCAAAAGTATCATTTTATTCTGTTCTGGGATCATTTTTAGAAAAATAAACATGTTTGTAAAAAGGAAAAAAATATTTGTAGGTTAAAGTCATTAAGTATGCCTAATTAATGTACAAATATTATGATTCCAGGTAACAAAACATAATAAATGGAGGTAAAAAGGACAATAAATTGTACCTACTTAAAGATCATGAGGACTTAAATGGTACTTGCATTTCTACTCAACATTCTTAACTATTTTGTGAAATACAAAAATGAATGTACTCGTACTGTACTGTACTAAACCCACTTTGGAAATAATCAACCAACTGATCAGAGGTTAGGCCTACTAGCTCAACTGAGTATAGTGACTCAGCAAATAAATGTATAAACAAACAGATAAATAGTGAGAACAATTTATTTTATGACTTGAGCAGTCACAAAGACTAGTGCTTGTATCTAAACGTCTGTAAGCTGTGAGAAAAAATTTTGATATTGGCTTCCTGGAAGGGGCCGGATAAACAGAGGACCGGTAAAACCAAGGCCGAATATGAGGGGTTCTACTGTAGCTTGAGATTCATGGCTTACTCAAAATTTGCGACAGCTGGTCCATATATATGAGTCATCTACTTTAGTATCCAATAGTCAATTTACGCAACTACAGGTCATAACATTCACATTTCCCACAGCACCACGGATGGAAGACAGGCAGTGTTTTTCCAGCGACAGTTTGCCAGCGCAGTCAAGCTGCTGGGCAACATAGTGAGGTGGCAAGGTCTACTCAGTGACGAGGTTGTGAGTCAAGTAGCGTTGGACTCTCTACTCAACAGATATCTGCTCATGGCCATCAGACTGTCCGAACCTGTAGAAGCGGCTCATAAGTGTCATATGGTAAGTGCTGCTCGTTAACAAGTAAAATAGCGAAATCCCGCAAACTAAGTATCTGATGATTTAGATGTCTGAATTTCTCTACCAAAACACCAAGAGGTTTTACATAAGTTGTTAAAAACCCAGCGCCAGTGCTTTTTGTCCAAGCGAGCGACTGTGGTAAATTGCAGAACTCGGTAGCTTTGTTACACATCGCTTTGGCCATTTAGACTCAGCACTACTTGAGGATGAGTTCAGGACAAGACCAAGAAATCAATAGTTCCTTAATGATTATTACAAACAATAATATATAAGATATTATATTTTATAGATTTTTCCAAGAATGATGAAAGCTTACATTTGTGATAAAACCGGTGTGAAGAGACCTTTGGCAGTGTTCAAATTCGTACTTTGCCACGGGTTGGATAGTATTAGGGATGTGCCGAATCGGAATCTCGAATCCTCTGAATCCTAAGAAAGGATTCGGATTCAAGTTTCAATTAACAAAATTTGTGGATAAAAAATCTATTTTTTTTATCATAGAATTATAAGGCATATACTGTGACATTGCATAACCATAAAGGTTATTGACGTCGTAATATACAGTACTGTGACATTGCCATTTTATGACATTTTATGAACAGAGTATACTATTGATCAACGAATTTAAAATTAACAAATGTACCTACAACAATTATAAATAACCAATAATGAATAATTGCCGTCCAAATAAAGTATACAGACCGACCTTCGATTTAGGTTAATAGGATATAAGGTGTAACCGATTAGTAGTCTGTTATTTTTGCCGTGTTTCAAAAGTAATTACGCAACTTTTATTGCAAAGAGTTATTTATGGTTAGTGTAATATTTATTTTTTAATTTTTCATATTCCATTCTTGCTTTTTTAATCATCATAAGCCTATTTGTAATTATTTTTGGAACTCAAGTTTCGCAGATTCGAGATTAGATTTTTTTAGGATTTGGATTCGAGATTTGAAATTTCTTGATTTGACCATCACCAGATAGTATCCTCATCATGGCTCACAAAAATGTCTTAGTTTTTAAACTGAGGATTGAGTCGCTGTAAAATTAGTCCCTCAAATCATTTTTACCTGTGTAGGCTCACCTGTAAATTATAGTTTTTCATCACTAGGATCGAAAGTGGCTCTTTTTGGTACGAGTAGATAGGGTTGCCTGATTTTTTCTCCGGCGAATAAAAGTGACAGCGATGTTGGGAATGAGTATACGAGTGTGGGCAGGGGACGATTTGTCCTCGAGCGAGCGACGACGACTTGTGCAGGTTAAAACTGTATGTTAGTTCCAGCAGAGTGCTTGCTGGTAAAGACTTATGGTGTATGAAAGCTAGGATATGAAATTATGAGTCTTTGTTAAATTAAGTAGTAAGTTTATTTAATTTTATAAAACAATTGGAGTGATCACTAAACTGGCATGTGTTAATGTGTAATACTTTGGATAAAAGTGAGTCTTGCAAAATTGTTCCAACCTGAAGAATTCTTAGTTTAAACCGTTCCTTGTCGATGGAGCCGGTACAGCGCCTGTCTTCATTATCAGCAAAGTAAAAAGTTGTCTTCATGGGATTAGAAAAGGTAACTACCTTTTCACATTTGTAAAACTGAGACATGAGCAACCTGTTATGACTTAAGTCAATAAGAGTAGCTGTGTATCTGGATGATAATGAAAGATGGTAAGTTTATATATAGGTTAAGCTTAGTAAAAAACAACATTGGTAAATAATAAAGATTTGTTTATTCAAAATATGAAGTTGAATACATTTCAAGCCTTACACATATTTAGAAGATCATCATGAGTGACTTCCAGAGACAATGTATATCTCCCAGTGACATCCTGGCCCAATGCATCTGATCCGTCCTCGCAGTAGACTATATTCTTGGTGCTGCCCTTGTCTGTTGTCTGTTCCTTGAAGCGAAGATAGGAGCAAAACGGTGAGTTGTAGCGATGATCTTCTATTGCGTCATCACCTTCTTCCCACTTGAAAAGATTAACTCCACAATAAACGCATTTAGTGGTGTCCTTCATAGCAGCCATTTTGACAAAGCCTTCATCAGCAAGCTGCTTAGCAGAAGGAGTTTTAAGTTTCCATTCGTCAAAGGTCTTTACTCTCACTTCAGGGTTGTTCATGTCTAGCATAGCTGGGTTTTTCAAACACCAATCAGCTAGTTTGTGTACATTGGTTTGTGAACAATAAAATCCTGGAGCATGTAAATGATGAAACAAACACTGATTCTTTTGTTTGGATAGTTCTTCAACGGGAGGAAGTAGTAGAAAATCGCTCGATAGAGGGGGGCCTCCAAGTAGCTCAAGACTGAACACAACTCTTCTGTTCTCTAGCAACTTTTCCAAAACCTTTGCCTTTTCAGTTGAAGCAGCATACAATAGGTTTACATTGCAGCAAATGTCTCTCAGAGATGACGTGAGAGAGCTATATTCAACGTTTCCTGTTCCGAATCCGAGGCCGTGATAGTGTTTACTCAACCACCTGTTATGATTGTCAAACTGTGAACTGTGCCACCCTCCGCAATCATGTTGTGTGCTTGGAAAAGTAGATCTGGATCCATCCTTAGGTGGTGAGAAAATCCAATGTTGTACACATCTTGAATCCAAGTCCAATATGCTCAATTCCTTGATAACCACTGTCTTATCCTCTCCAATAAAAGCACTAAAATCTATGATGGCCTGTTTAATCATGACTGAAAGTTCTAACTCCAACGAAATTCAAGTTGAGACTGAGAAACCAAACCGACAAGAGCGGGCTTTATAGCCTATCCCCACCCCAAATTCCAACACTTTCTGCATGAATCACATTATCCGATGAACCAGGTTAGTGGCTGGCTCATAGCTGAATGACTTGTCGTGAATTATCAAACAATAAGCAGCAGTCCCTGGAGGGAAAGCTTCGCTGGCCTCAAATTCTAAACGAATATCAACAGGGGCTGACCTAAGGGATTCGTTTTGCTTAGAACAGTCAATTACGATTAGTGGTGCATAAGAAATGAAATTTTTAACGTCCAAAAGTGGTTGTGATGGAACATTGTAATACGACTCCTGAAAACGGGTATACATGTCGTAGAGTATAGCGTAGTGGTTCTTTGCAATGTCTAGTTTTAAATCATCATAAGGATAGTTAATAGAGTTTAAATGAAGTTTTATGTTTGATATCTTGCAGTGATCAAAGCATGCGGCAGACTTTTTCATGTTGTTTTTGCGATTCTCCTGGAAAGCCACTATGACGTATCTTGGCTTCTCTAGCTGTGATGCTGTCTTTACTGACCAAGATTGTTTGTTTGATTGTGGCAAAGAGGGATACTCATAGAGTTCCCAGCTTCGATACTCTACAGGAACACTCGTTCCCCTTTCCAAATGTCTAAGCAATGCAATTCTTTGTCTATCACTCAAAGAAACGTAGGGAACCCTCCAGCATAGTTTCTCTAGTTTAACTTTAATATCTTCAGGAGTTGTGTCAGTAGCACCACTTGAGGTCCACAAAACTGCATTTTTGTCCCCGGCCGACCTCAGTAGAACAAGCTCATGACGGCAGTTGACAATAACCTTTCTATAATCTTCTGCGAACCCCAGAAGCCTACTTAGCGGTATGCAAAAACTAAAATTTCCATCAGTGTCAGTCACATGACTTTCCAAAGTGGAAGACAACTTATTCACCTCGGTTGGCCAGCCAGAGTTCCCTAAACTTCTTAAAGAGTTCTCTCCAATAGAAGCAAATCCTTTCATTGTAGAAGTTATACCTGGGTTCCTAATGCGATCTATTTCAACTCCATTTATTTCATACCGTATCTCGTCAAACAAAAATGCAAATGCGTTTGGAGTGAACTTTGTTTTTGTAGTTGCTGTATTGTCTGACTTCAATAGCTTTCCCTCAACATACAAATAACTCATAGAAGGCACAATGCATATATCTTGTTGTTGAATTGGTATTCTTATCTCGTCATTGTTGTCTAGTGTGGTAGAAGAGTAAGGGAAATGAGTGTGAAATTCCATGTGAGAAATAGTGTCATCAAATGGGACACTACTAAAAATATCCAGTACATCCATTATTGAAGTATTTTATAGCCCAAGGAGCGTAAAAACCTTCGGTTTGTGTGTGTTAGTCGCTTGGGTGACAAACAAACACTGCTTGGTACTGTTGAGTGTGCACCCAATAAATAGTCGTCGGAGTTATGGGTTTTCTTGACTCTGTCTATATGACCCTTTGATATTCTTGGTCTTGATAAACAGTTTGAAAAATATAAGTAACCCATCTCCTACTACCTGTTCAACTAGGGACCTTCCTCAAGTGTAAACACACTGTAATACGTTCTCCTCTAAAATTCACCAACCTATCGTCCTGGTCTACAATCCGTAGTGTTATGTTACTTATTGCCCTCGTGGTGATTGGAAGGTAAATGATTGTACTGGGTATTTCAACAAGCTTATATCCTGGTGGTACTGCTGGGAAAAACTGATGGATTGTATGACTTTGCTTATTATTAACGAAAGACCCGCCCGCTATGCTGCATTCAACTCTAATCGTGTTTGTCTTAAAAATATCCACAACATTCTTCGAGTAGTGCTCATTTCCAGGTCCTATGACCTCAGAATCGAAACCCAGGAGGCTGCCAATAGAGTTGGGTTGAGAGAAATCCACCTGAGCGTTACATTTCAGAGTAGTTTGCAATGTATTGTTGTTTGTTCCCAAGCGAAAAAAGTACTTCTTTTCCTGTGTAGCCAACATCTTTAGCTTATCCTGTATGAAACGTTCAATATCCATTACTTCATATGTACCAGTAGGTATTTTAATAATCTTTCCATTATCAAAATGAAACTGGTTGTTTGTTTCGTCGACATTTGGTATGGAGTTATAAGACTCGAAGCTAAGCAAACCAACTTCATAATCATAACCACCTTCAAGTTCGATGGGAGGAAAGTAGTCTACTGAAAGAGTAGAAGTTCTACCTGAAAGCATGAACGTCTGAGACATGACTAAAGGG